ATATTTAACATCAAAAAACATAAGGGAAAAAAATTAATTATTTTTAATATGTGGAAATCTCCACCCTTTGCCTGATGATGATCGCAAGACAGGAAACGCGTGTAGCAAAATTATGAAAAATAAAGCATAATATTTTTTTAAAAATCCACATTACAACCAAAAACGTTTGTGTTTTCTCTCTTCTTTTTAATATACACACTTTTCTCTTGTTGGAACTACTATAACCTCTTACTTATATCTCAGAGAGACAAGAGACAGATTAATGTGTTTACACACAAAGTCATAATATACAATTCTGTGATAGTGTTATGTAATGTTAGAAACAAATAAAACCATGTTTCTCATTGGCTAAAAATGATAACTGCCATTCTGAATGAGTACTTTGAATAACAGTTAAAGGCAAAACGGAATCCACATCCCTGATTGGTCAAAACACCAATAGTCAAAAAATTAAACAAATCCCAATTGGTCAGAATTCCTACACAAGATTGAATAAAAGGATCTCATTTATGCAGGCACAAATATTGTTTACAATTCTTGCGATCATACGGAAGCTATGTCAGAATGCTAGTCAAGAAATGATTGCTCTCAGCTTGGCCCACGGGAGAGAAAGTCTGATGTCATGGAGATCCGGAACTTTCTATGACCCTAGAATAGACATCACTGAGAAAGCATTCTGGTGTGCAATATATACAAACATGTATCATTAAATGATCCCCTTTAGTAAATGCTTCCAAAAGATTTATAGAAACATCTATAGCCTAAACACCATACCTTTATTTGGTTGTAAAAAAAACAAAAAAAAAATACAGCCATGGAGAAGAGTCTTTTTGCTGTTTTAAAAATGTGACTTTTGCCTCTCCAACCACAATGCTTATTTTGATTGATGATGTGAATAACAAAAATTATTCATCCATCATCTTACAGAAAAGCCTATTGCTGTAAAGAATAAATGAGCAAAAAAAAGAAAAAAAAGTGAGACTATCAGGACTACTTTTTAATTATTTCGTATTTTGTTGGTTGGCTCAAATGTGCTACAAAGAAAATTAAATAAAACAGAACAGTTTAACTACATTATTAAATAAAATTTTTTTTTTTTTTTTTAAAACTTAAAAAATCTAATTTGAGGGCCAAGAGTAATTTAAATTCTCAGCTTTCTAAACTGAGAAAGTTTTTTTTCTTTTTTCTAACAGGTTCTCATAGAATATTTTTTTTTGTCATCCTAAGAAAAGAGATTCTATGTTGGTGCAGTTCTCTGTCATGACCAGCTGAGTAAATACTAAACTGGGATTGGTACACAGGTTCCAGTTGATGACAGGCTATAACCAGCAAGTCCAGTCATTACATATTTTTTCATACCAAAATACACACACACACACACACACATGCACACAAGAATGGCTATGTATTACACAAACACAAAGATATACACCTGTTTGTTACAGCTCTGTACAAATTTACAAAAATGGGGAAATTATCAAGAAAAAAAATGGTGGTAGCGAGACAAAATGGATTTTAAGCTTTTCATGGGGTGGACAACAAAATTTCTTTTGAAGTGTTTTTTTTTTTTTATTTTTGCAAATATTTTTCACAGAACACCATAAGCATAAGAAAGGTCAATAAAAAAAAAAAAAAAAACTTAAAAAGAACACTATTATTATTTCATACTTTCAATACTGATTATATATGAGATGTGATATATGTGTGTAAAAGTTAATTTCAATGAGGGAAAATGTAGTTAGTTGAAACAGTTTATTATAAAGCAACAGACAATATATATTGTATATAGAGTAATTATTGATTTCTGTTCTATTTGTTCTTTTATGATTTTCTCATATACACAGTTTGGTATACCATTGGCATAGTGTTTTATATCCTGTACACAAGTTTATTATACAGAGTCATAGAAAGGAAATCTACTAGTAAGTAATTCTTTAAATGCATGTCCTTTTAAATGTAGACACCCTAGGTGGGTACTAAGTTAGCATCAGGGTAGCACTGGTTTTGTTTTGTATAAACAGTATGGTACACACTGTAATATATACATGGCAGAATAGTTTGGGCTATTAGTTCAAGAAGTCAAGCATTGGACAATTGACTTTGAAACCTATTGTTAAATACCAGTGCTTGCTTTGGCTATCAGGACCTGTTGACAAAAAAAGGAAAGAAAGAACAGTTCACAAATTCAGGGACATACAGGAGTCAAAAATATCGATTAAATGTGACAGGATAACTAAGTAAAGAACAAAGGGCGGGGAACCTTTATGAATATAAAATATTTTGCTATTTATTTAGATATATATATATTTATTTATTGATAATCAAGAATGACAAATGGCGTAAATAGAACCCTGCTGCTGGAACAAGATCTCGGGGCAATACACAAGCTAAAAATGTCTTGAGACATGATGGGTACACCCAGGTTAAGAATATTTTTGCCAGCTGCACCAATGATAATTATATGGTGGTGGTGTTGTTGGCAGCAATAACAATTCCTATGACTCTTGGATGGCATATAATACACATGCATGGTATACAATTTAAATCATATATATTAGCGTATTTGTATGGTTAATATATTATATATTATGTACAAGTGAGGTATATCGTATGCATTGTGTCGTATACTATATGTAAGTTATAATATACCATATACTGGATGGCATGCTGAATATATGCAATGGTATATCATGTACAATTCATGGTATACAGAATGTTATATCATATTATGTCATGTACATGGTGTGACATTCCACATACACAATACAATATACTATATACATGGAATAGTATACCAAAATATAAGAAGTGGTGAATATGGTTGTTGTATCTTGAATATTGCGTTATACTTACAATAGTAAACCAATAATGGATATACTAACGTAGACCATTATTGAAGCTATGTACATATTTTGCATACTTTGTACCCTGCGCTAGCCATCAAAGAATTTTTTTTCAATATTACATTTAAATTTTGTTAGCTTTTTTTTTTCTTCAATTAATAAACTTTATAATAACAATTTTCATTTTCAATATCTGGCTGAAAAATTCAGGAGAAAAAAAAAAAAAAAAAATCACAGTGAAATTGTTTTCTGAAAAAAAAAAAAAAAAACGTAAATCACATGTGGCACTCAAAAACTTAAAATAAAAATTGATTAGAGAAAAAAAAACAAAACAAAAAAACCATTGTAGAAAAGAAAGGAAAAACAAAAACACTCCAATAAAAATGATTAATCTATTTAGGAAAAAAAAAAAAAAGTGCTTTTTTTCATGTGTTAGAGTGGGATTTCAAGAACTCATAAAATTTCAAACAATTGTTCATTAAATTTTGCAAATACTGAAACATTTTTATGGCTTTTTCTTTTTTTCTTCATTTGCATGTCATAAGGTCTTCAAATGTTTAAAAAAGAAGAATAAAAAAATACTATTAGAATATTTTTTTTTTTTCATTTAACCTTATTTTCATTATTAAATTAAATTAAAATAAATGATTCTAACACAAGACATGCGGAATTTAGTGTTGAAAATTTTATATATATATATATATATATATATATATATATATATATATATTATATATATATATATATATATTTTACACACATACAAAAGCAGTGATATAGAATTTTTAGCCTTATTTTGATGATAAACTATATGAATACTTCACAGCTTGACAATATTTTCTTCATCTGAATCACTTTAACCCGGACAGAGACTCCAGAACAGACAAATTTTTGATATTCAACCAGAGAAAGTATAAAAACTGTGTTTTATATATAGTCTACATTTGGTTTTACTCAGCTCATATCATATGTGACTCAGAATTACTGTCTGCTACACTAGAGCAATCATAACCACTTTGGAATAAAGTTTAAAAAATGCTGCCAAGCAAATTGGATCCCACATCAATCACACCAAAATGGAGTACATGCTGTACAATGAAGAGAAAGCAGATTTAGTCACAGTTGTGAACAACACCCTCAAAGCAAGCAGATCACTTTCTGTATTTTGGCCCGTTGATCAACTCATATAGCAAGGACATGGATGTTGGAAATGGAAAAGCTTGGGCAGCTCTACAAAAGATGGAAACAATATGGAAATCAAGTTTATGATTTGAAATGAAAGTTGAATTCATCTAACTCTTCCAATTCGCATCAAAGATACAAGCAAGCTCATGGCTGTTGTATGAGATGCTGAAGGCAAGTGCAGAAGAAGGAAATAATAATTTATCTGATAAGCTTTTGCAAATTATCATCAGAACAGGGACAAAGTGAGATGGTATAGAATCAAGCACTGCTTAGAACTACAAGGGATAGGAAGTTGTAGAAAGCCATGATCAACCATTTCCTGAAGGGTCATGACGCTTAAAAAAACAATAATACTGCATTTGGCTTGGATAAAAGTTGACTTGACCAGAACCAAACAAAAAACCACTTTGAAATTTAAATGTTTAAACAGGAACTAATATTAACCATCTGCTCAACGTCAGATATTCTTTGTTGTTATTCTAGTGGTTGCTTAGTGCAGTTGGATATTCTGCTCCACTATTTTGATTTACAACTCATAAAAACCCATTTTTAGTATTTGATCTTTGAATTTCACCTGTCATTTATAGAGAAAAAAATTATATTTGATTAGCAATTTAGCAAAATAAGTTTTTTTTTTTTTCCAGCTTAAAGAATTAATGAGATCAAGTGGTGAAAATTTTTACCCACCCCCATAATTATTGATTGATTTATTTTTTTATAGCCTATGAAATTTTTGCAGGTTATTTAAAGCCAGAAAATAGTTTTAGATTGTAAGAACTTTTTTTTGGAGATAATAATGATTTTCTGATACAAATCCTATTAATTAACCCATAGCTGAGAGATGTGAATTCATGCCTTTCCCAAGGGTATTTGTGCGTAAGGGAACATAACGCACATAACTGGAATAGGAACTTGACATTCCAATCTTAAATTTTGAGCCATTATCCATTACACCACGTGGATATCTAAGCTTACTGTACCTGATATTCCCACATGGTCACCAGCTATGTACTGACCACGCTCAATGTTGCTTAACTTTGGTGATCATACAAGAACTGGTGCTTCAATGAGATATGGCTGTAAGCCCTTTATACCACCTGCACATCTAAGCTTATTGCACTTCGTATTCTCTAGCAGTCACACATCTATGTACTGATCGGACTTGACATTGCTTAACTTTGGTGATTATATGAGAACCAATCTTTCAACATGATATGACTGTAAGCCTGTCTAAAATTAGATACATAGGCAAAGATTTCTAGCAAGGTATAACCATTTTTCTGTTACTGAAACCGAGTTACTACTGTGGAATTTTACAAGCAAGTAAACTTACATCTGGAAGATTGGAATGCAAATTAATATGTTTAGATATGAATTTAAGCGCAGTACTATTCTGGCAGTGATATCGCATCAATTTACAGTTGAGCTGGTTAGAAGTAGCCATAACTTCTATGCTAACAGTTTCTTTTCTCATACTTCTTGCTTGTGGAACTCCCTTCTGGCTTCATGCTTTCCAGTTGACTTTAATCTGCAAAAATTTAAATGCAATGTCAATCGCTATCTACTGACCTCCAGATTATTCTTTCCTCTTCCTGCTCATTATTAATGTTTCTGTTCCTAATTCTTCCACATCCTGTAACCCCCTTGTGTCTTAGTGGCTGTATTGTCTTACTTGGGGTGATACTGATTAAAAAAAAAAAAAAAAAGACCAGATAGCAAAGAAAGGTCATTTGGAATTTACAAGTATTTCAGAAGTACCCTGAAGCTTCTTATTTTATTTATTTAGAATGGAATTTACAATTTAAACTAAAAAGCCTGGGGAAAGATTTGAATATAGATTAAGATGTTAACATAACAAATCAAAAGTCTGGATATTTACCCAGGAAGAGCGGATCAGGATACCAGTGTCAGCCTAAAGAAAAAAAAACAGAATTATCTTGAAAGTGCAGGTGGCTTGATAGGTCATATGACTAAAGACAAAGAAATGAAATGACCACGTGATAAAATCCAGAGGAGACTGGACAGATAAGGCTGAACAAAGATTTCTTTGGTCGATGGGGAAGTAATTTATAAAAAAAAAAAAAAAAAGAAAAAATTAGAAACATGTAGATTGTATGGGTAGATGGATAAATGAATGCTGGGAGAATTATAATTTCACCAAATAGTGTAAATTAGTCAAGTGAATTCTAATAGGTGACATAGCTTATCAACTTTTGCAGGTTATTTAAAGCCTGAAAATATTTTTAGATTGTAAGATCTAAGAGTAGTGGTAAAAGGTTTTTTGGTTACTTTTCTTTTTATCCTGTGACCCATAGTGTTATAGAGACACCTTGTGTACTGCAGCCACAGTAGAAGTGGTGTTTCTTGGGCAAGATAGCCTGACAGAGTCCAACTGTCTCCAGGCCGATTTTAAATTCAGAGTTTTTCCTTCTCCTAGACCGGTTGCCACCCAAGGTTATAGTACCCAGTCTGTCCTGCTAGGGGAGAAGAAGAGGATTCATACCTTTCCCAAGGGTATTAGCATGTAAGAGAATGCAATGGATCCAACTGGAATTTGAACTCGACTCTCCGATTCCTCAATCCGAGCTGCTATCCATTACTCCACCGTGCATCCTCTTTTTGATTAATAGGTATATGAAAATTTGGAGGTGTCTTCTGAACAAGCTAAATTTGGAAAAACTTTGTAAAAGATAAATTAGGGGATTTTGGCAATCAAGTCACGCTGGTGGTACATCAGTATAAGCAGGCTGATTCAGGTCCTTTAGGCAGTTTCAATCCGATTGTCAGGGAAGATACAACTTGATATCACCACCTTTTTTTTTTTTTTTTTTTTACTACCCCACTTCACAATCCTTGGCAAGATATTGTCAGAGATTTGGTCAATTAAAGAAATTTTCCTCAGCTTGAAAAGTTTTTGTTTGCACACCAATGAAGTGCAAGAGTTGGAAACCAACTTTGTCTGCAGGCCCAAGATCAAAATTCCCTGACTGAATAGTTGAATGGATTACCAGTCACTAGTCTGAGGTACTTTTGTAGGTTTTGCGATATACTACGAATAATGCAGACACCTACTAACTCACCAACTGGGTGTAGTTAAGCAGACCCCAGCACTGCAGGACTGGGAAAAAGATAACCTGATCACTGTTACTCTCAACAAATAAACTTATTTCCAGAATCAATTGTCTGTCCCTGAAAATCACTTTTTTTTTCTTATAACTTGCACTCTTCATTCTCAAGGAAGTTTCAATCAGTTTGACCTAAGACATCTTCAGATCAAAAATTTCAACACAATGAGTGGGGAAGATTGAGTTTTCTATAGAAATACAACTGCTGCAATGAATAACCATTTTTTTTTTTTTCATATTACTATTCAAATTATAAAAAAAAAAAAAACCAACAAACTACCATTTGCCAAAGAGTCTGTAATGTTATTGGTCCTGACTTGGCATCTTGGTTTCAGTCACTTTCCCCACTGCTATGATCTGATTTTCCTGTTATTTCTATAAATACATTTATGGTAGTTATTCTACTGAGTTCTCCTCCTTGGTAACTCAACCACAAGAATTTAAGCATACTACTAGATTGACTGTTAGGTCTCACTATTTTACTGTTAAAATAGCTAGATGTAATTATAAGTCCTATTCTAACAGTTTCTTTTCTCACCTGTGGAAGTCTTACAATTTCTTGTTTCCCTGCCACCTTCAATCTTCAAAAATTTAAATGCAACATCCATCACCATCTAGTCTTCCTGAATCCTGTTCTTTTATTGTCTTTTCTCTTCACTCTCAGCAGCCAAATGCCTTAGCGGCATTATTGCTTTGCTTTGGATGTAATGATAAAAAAAATAAAAACCTTTAGAGTGGCAGTAGTTGAAGACAAACCACAACTACTATTGGCAAATGTTTTAAAAATATATATCTAGAAAGAAGATAAAATATTTCCAATTTATATTGTGTTAAGTAAACAACAATGTTTTATATTAACATTTGGCTAAAGTGATAAAGCAGAGGACGGTTAGTTCTGAGGTTCTAGTTTACATTCCATTGTGTCTATGTGTTGAATTATTTTTAGTATCCACATGAAAACCGACACAATGCAAATGAAGAAAAAGAAAGTAGTTTCAGATAAAATGCCCACTCAAATGTTACTTGAAAATTTTAGCATTTAACTTGCTTTCATTCCAGAATATAAAAAATGCATGACGTGTAGATAAAAAAAAAAAATGCCTCCATAAAACACAAGATTAAAAGCTAAGATATCATTTGAAAGCAGAATGGGGTAGGGGGAGTTAAGAATTATATATTTAAAAAAAATAAATTCAATAAAATACATTCAGCAGTAAAACTTAAAAATATAAACAAATCTTTAGTAATTTTATACCTTTTTCTTTTTTTAAACCCACCATAGATTGTAGAGTTACATTAACTCAAACAGTATTTGTTAGTCTGACCATTTGATACATATATGTATACACATCCCTCACAAACATCCATTGGAACAAAAAAACAAAACATTCAAAATAATATTATTCCGATTTAACAAAAAAAAAGAAAAAAAAGAAAAAAGTATTTTATCATATAGGTAGACTATTGGTCTGGTTTTCTTTAGTATGTGTGTGATTTTTTTTCAGTGGGTGGGTAAATGTAAGTAGATAGTTTGAAAAATACATCATTCCATCATAGGCATTTATTGTAGCAGAGTCTGAATATAGTGCACTGCTTCCTGACTTTCACATTTCCGCTGCCCAACGCCATAATTAGGTGTGTTTGGCATGTTTGACCAGCTAGAGGTCCAAGAGGAAGCTAGGGGAAAGTTCCTTTTCCAGTAATTGTTCTCTGGCCTTTGCCCAAGAGGATGCGAGCAGTTTGAGCTCATTGTTGGTGAGCCGAGAGGAGATGGCTGTTGCCGAAGGGGAGCATGTTGATTCATCATTGGATGGGATGGCGTCATGCCTACTGCTGGCTGTTTGCGCATACTGGTTGGTGGGGGTTGGGACATCATTTGACAGGACGATGTTGGTGGTGAGGTTGTAACAGGAGATGATGATTGAGGCTGATGTTGGTGATGGTGGTGTTGCTGTGGCGGCTGTTGTTGCTGCTGCTGCTGTGGCGGCTGTGGCTGTGGTGGCTGTGGTTGTGGTGGCTGTGGCTGCTGGTGTTGGTGATGTGGTTGTTTCCTGGGTGGCAGTGGAGGAGCCTGTGGTGCATGATGAGATTGGTTAGGGGATATTACCATGGGGTTGGGGTTGGCACAAGAACTCGGTACCATTGTGGGAACTTGGGTGTTTGGAGCTGAGGATGTTGGGTGGGGCTGTTTGCGCATTGACGATGACTGAGTGGAGGGGGCTGGGGGTGGAGAACTGTCAATTGCAGGTGCCATCTGGCGCTGGGAGCAAGGGCCACTTCCATTATTGGCTGCAGAGGTATTGTTGGTTGCAGTGGCATTGCCAGCATTGTTGGTGGCAGTAGTGTTGTTGGGATTATTGTTGTTGTTAGCACTGACCATTGTAGGTGCATGTTGTTGCTGTTGTGGTGGTTGTTGTTGTTGCTGCTGTGTTTGTTGTTGCTGTGGTGGTGGTTGGGGTTGAGGCTGTGGTTTTGCTTCAAGATGGCTACCTGAAACTTGAGATTGTGACTGCTGTTGAGAGTGGGAAGAAGTGCCTCCACCTTGATTTGGAACATGGTTCTGGTTTGGGGCAGGGCCAAGATTTTGAGTTTGGGTATGGTTATGGCCATGGCTTTGAGAATTCTGCAGCTCCTCAGTAGTATGAACATGACTGTGCTGTTTCAGGTGAGTTTTCTGAGAGAAGCTCTTTAGACAGATGTCACACTGAAACGGCTTCTCACCTGTGTGTGTCCGCTTGTGCTTGTTAAGATGGTCCTTTTGCGCAAATGCCTTGTGGCAAATTGGACACTGGTGTGGCTTCTCCCCACTATGTGTATGCTTGTGTGTGTTCAGGTGGGATTTCTGGGCAAAACTCTTACCACACAGGTCACATGTATATGGTTTTTCTCCAGTGTGTGTGCGCTGGTGGTTCTCCAGACGGTCACGCTGGGGGAATACTTTGCTGCAGAATGGGCAG